AACTCAACTGTTTCAGTCTGTTGGTCCATGTCCATTGCTGATGGACTGGACTCTTCAGAATCTGGCCTGCTGCCAATGTCAGCAGGTGTCCCAGTCTTTTTGTTCTTCGGCTGGCTCTCTGAGTCTTGCGGCTCAGCTGAAGAGCTAGCCTTTTCCCTTTCGGGCCCTTTTTCTCTGGGCACAGATCCTTGGGCCGAAGCACTTAAGCCTTTTGGCTTTTTTGTGCTTGGCTCTCTTTCTTTTTCTTTCTCCTCCTCATCCTTGTCGTCATCTGGGCGACTACTGGATGGCTTGAGGTAGTTGCACCTTCGGGCGTCCTTTTGGTTGCCCTGTATCCTTTCGGGGAAGCCGGCGTCTGAGACGTAAATCATCAGCTGATGATAAGTTGAGACGACCCCTTGGATCTCGTGAATTATGGGTCTCCCCAAAATCACGTTGTACACTGAAGGAGCGTCGATGACCAAAAATTCAATCATGACGTTCCTGGCTGCCTCATCGCAACCGATGGTGACAGGAAGTGTCACCTTCCCATCTGGATAAGTTGAAGCCCCATTGAACCCGGATACCGGGTAGGGTACCGGCGTAAGGTGCTTGGGCTTCAGCTTAATTTGATTGTAGGCCTTTCGGAACAGAATGTTTGCTCTACTGCCACCGTCAACAAGGACCTTACTGACGTCGTGGTTGGCCACCGTGGCGATGATCACCAACGGATCCTCGTGAGGGAACGCAATCCCCCGGCAGTCGGCGGCTGTGAACGTCATGTTCGGCACCGGCGACTGGGGAGATTGAATGTCAGCGTTGTTCACCTGGTGAGTCAAAGCTCTAAGGTGTCGCTTGTGCTCCCTCCGAGAGTATATTCCTCCCGAGATAACATTGATCGGAGGGAATTTCCCCTCCGGCTTTTTACTGTTTTTCCGGGGGAAGTCGAGGTCTTGCCGAGGGTCCTTTGCTGACCTCTCGGATTCTTTTTTCTCGCGGTGATCCGCGATGTATTTTTTCAAGTATCCCTTCCGGACCATGTCCTCTATCTGGTCCTTCAGTTGGATACACTCCTCAGTGTTGTGTCCCGAAGACTCGTGGAACTCGCACCACTGATTTTTATTTTTTCGCTGATACCACTCTAGGAGTGGTCTCGGCTTTCGGTAACTCTGCTCCTCCTTCGTCACGCTGTAAATTTTGGCGCGTGGAAGAGAGAGCGGAGTGTAGGACTCGTATCTGCCTGTGTATGAGGCAGATCTTTCCTTCTTTGGGTCGCTGGCCAAAGATTGCTCCGGGGCCTTTGACTTTCCCTTTGCCTTATGGCCTTGGCCTTCAGACAAGGGTATTTGTCTTTGTTTCCCTCCCTCGAATTGAGGTTGGGTTTTCGCTTTGTTCCATTCTTCGGCTCGGATGAACTTATCCGAAGCATTAAGAGCTTCCTCCAAGGTCTGCGGGGTATGCATGACCATGAAGTCTAGGAACTTTCCGGGCTGAAGGCCATTCTGCATTGCAAAAACGGCTAGCCCCTGGTCCAGCTGGGAGACGCTTGATGACTCGTTACTGAAACGGGTCAGGTAGTCTCAGAGGCTTTCGGTTTCCCCCTGTTGCAGACTCATGAGCTCTGAAGTAGTCTTCTCTCGGCGGTTTGCCATGGAAAACTTGCTCCTGAACTTGGAGGACAGATCATCCCACCCTGTTATGGATCCTTGCCTTACTCCCTTGGAGATCCACGCTTGCGCGACCCCCTTGAGAGTGGTTGGGAAATATTTGCACCAAGTCGCCTCGAATCTGGGGCAAAGATGCATATGAGTCTCATACGAGGCCACGTGATCCTTCGGATCCGTGGTCCCGTCATATGTGATGTGCGACGGTATTTTAACCGTGGGTACGCGCTCTTCCAGTATCCATTGCTCGAATGGTGAACTGGCGGGTAGCATAACGACCTTGCCCTTGTTCCTGGCCGAAGGGACCGCGCTCCGCCCTCTTAGAGAGGTAGGAGTGGTTTTCGTCCCTGGCTGGGAAGTCTGGGCCTCGGCTGCAGGGAATGAGAGGCGACTGCGCACGCTCGGTTCCTTGCCGCCGAGTCGGTCAAGGACGCTTCTGCGAACAGTCTCAGGTTCTCGGTGAGTAGATTCTGGCCGAGAAGCTGAGCTGCTGCTCTTATGCGCTTCTGGTCTTGAGGATGAGGATCCTTTTAAAAATTGAGGGTTCTTTTTCCTCTGTTTTTCATTTTTCCAGGAATCCTCCTCCCACTCTTCCAGTTCCCGGAAGGAAGGAAGCTTCCCACCATCATGGTCTAACTTCCTCCGCTGATGCCGGGTATGCGGAGGAGTTCGATCACGAGGTGGTGGCATATTTTGTGCCCTCATCGCCTCCATGAGTACTGCCAGCGCTCTTGCCACCTATTCCGAGCTGGGCCCCGTCAAAGGGGTCCTCGGCCGAGTGTGGGAATGAGAGCGCGCAGCCGATGGTTGGCTTTGGGACACTGAATGTGTCCTATGATCGGACTCACCCCTGCTAGACCGAGAGTAACTCGGCCTATAATGAGAGTCATGAATTACGGGAGATAGGGAATCCTCCTTGTATGATCCTCCCCCCGAGCCGGCACCCTTGGGAGAGTTCCGGTCCGGCGAGGGTGATGGTGTAGGGGTTTTAGGCTTTTCGCCCGCTCCTTGACGGAGGCCTTTGCTCTTGCGGTTCTTAGCCATTGCTGCTAAGATAATTGCAAGATGATCTTGCTTAGGAATTTGGCTTAAAGATTTTTAAAAGTCTTCCCCACAGACGGCGCCAAATTGTTTCGGGTGAAAACAATGGGACCTTGCCGAAGGTCCGCTGAAACGGAGAAGGCTGGATTCGGTCCAAGTTATGTTGGGCCGAAGGTTTCCTGCACAGTAAACACACGTAAACTAGCCTCGGGGGTGTTGCCGAGGAAAGCCCCTCCGATGCTAAAGTCAGTACAATGTGTAAGAAGAGGACACTATGCAAGAGAGTTTGTTGCTTGAGGCTTTGATGGAATATATGAGAATATATGAATGAACCTATCAATGAACATATGAATGAACATATGAATGAACATATGAATGAACATCCTAAATGTATCAATATTGATGGAAAATGTATCAATATTGATGGCTTTTATACCTTATCATACATGGAGAGGTTGGGCCTTAGCCCAATTGGCTTGCTTTGTGGGCTGACCTTTGACTTTAGCACAACTGGAGAGTTGAACCTTGACCTTGGGCTTTTAATTGGATCATTTAATGCCTAGGCCCAATTGGACTAAATTGGACCCAAACATGATGTTTTAAGTAATAATAATACTAAACAGAGAATTACCATGAAATTACCTACACATTCTATCATTTCTTAGATAATATTACTAATTTCATAACCACCAAACCAAAAATGCAACTCTAACCAAATTGATACTAACTAAAGATTCAAACCGTAGATACCCCCAAATTAATTTTAAAAAACCTAATTATAGCGAATACTCAAATTTCATATCTAGAAGAGAGAAGAAAATTACCTTAGATTTCCCCAAATTGACTGACGAAAACAATTGAGCTTGAGGTGAAGCAGAATTTGTGAGGATCTAGCTTGGTTGAATCTCCCTTTCTTTTTACTTCTTCAGTGGAGTAGTGGAGTAGATTTCCCCAAATTGACTGACGAAAACAATTGAGCTTGGTTGAATCTCCCTTTCTTTTTCTTTCTTTCTTTTTCAATAATCGATTTTGGAAATTTGGAATAATAGACAAAAAGGGAGTTTTCCCGCTATTTTGGTTCTTTAGAATGAATACTGTATTGATTTTTTAGGGTTTAATTTTGATTTTGGAGGGTTAAATTCTGAATTTCCTAAAATAAAAAAATTACCAAGATAAATGCTTTATTCATTATGGTGGTAAGTTTCCCTCCAAAATTTTCACTCTAACTTTTGTTTTTTTTAATGATTAACATATCTAATAGAGTAATAGTAACTTTATACTACGTATCTAAATTACTTGCTAATTAAATTTAAATTTTTTTATGAATATACGGAGTAATATAGTGCGCAACCATTTCCTTAAACGCAATCATCAGTCACTAGACATGAATAGATTAAATATTTTATCTCACTAATATAAATATAATACTCGACAATGTAATACTCATCAACAAATTTATTACATTAGTGGTAGACTTGTAGTGTTTGAAAATTGAAATTATATAAATAATACAATGAGTAATAGACAAGCAGATAGTGATACGAGTATAAGACAACCTATGCGGTAAGCTATACTAAAGCCATATGCCTTAAACTAAATAACTTTGTTATGAGTTTGGCTTGATGAAAATAACTAGAATTAGATTAATAAAGTAGGCTTCAACAACCCGTCAAAAAAAAAAAAAAAGTAGGCTTCAACAAGCTAATAATACCAATGTTGTTAGTTTGCTCTATTCACAAGATTCATCTATAAACTTGGATTATTACTCAAATTATCGAAAAGCATTTCTATTATAACATCATCTTACATAATAACATATAATTTTGTAATTCATAAAAGAGTTTCTCTTAATTAGAAACTGATATTTATTATTATTGCTATGTACTCATTTCGCTTTTTTGAAGTGCTAAATTAGGACTTTTTTTTTTAATTTTTTTTATTTACATTTAAATTGGGATTTCATGCACTATTCTAATTTGTGTTTATAATCTCCCTACAAAAAAAAAGGAGTTTATACTAAGGGCATGTTATCTTTGACTGAACTGAACTGAATTGAATATTTTATAAGAGAAAGAAATTAGAAGCTGAATTGAACTGAATTTCAACGTATGAGAACAGACCCTAATTGAGATAATGAGATCGTCACATTGAATATACTGTGTTAAGATTCAATTGTCATATCTTATACTTATTGATAATTACAATATATGAATATATTATTGGTCAAATTTTGATTTTGTATTTGCATACGTGTGCCATCAAAATGGAGTACTTAAATAAAAACAAACGAAGTAGTTAAGAAAATAATAATAGTAGTAATAATAATAATTAATGTTAAAATAATCTTGTGATTTTGATGACAACAATAACAATGATATTAACATTAACAACTGGTAATAAAAATAATAATAAATCTACTAATTAAACCTTGACTCAAAGTATCGACCCAAAATGACCCGATCTAAAGTAAACCTGACCCGAACATGACCCCGACCCGACTTGACTCGATATATGAACTTGAGAACTCTACCGACCCTGACTTGACCTAACCCAAGGTCAACACAAAGTTTTGACCCGATACCCAACCCGACCATCTATTAACCCAAACTCGACACAAAACCCGAAATGACACAACCCGACCCAAACCCAACCCGAATATTTGTTGACCCGACCCGAACGACCCGATTGCCAGGTCTAATTTTGTGTATTACATGACCAAGCAAATTGATTTTATTGTTTGTAATATATGGAAAAAAATTTCTGAGACTTCAAGTCCCTTTTCATACTTCGATAATTTGTTTGGTAATAATTTGAAATAGAAGAGAAGATGCAAAAGTGGAGTAACAAAAGCTAATTGTATTAAGGTGACATGAAAACCATCTATACAAGTGTGATTAACTATCACTCTAAGAGTTCCTTCACAGGGCATACCATAGCAAAATATCCACAAAACTTGGTGGAATTACTCATCTTATCCTTCTTCTTGTGTCCAGCATATGTGAAGTGAATGTTGGCTTTAGACTGGACTTGCTGAACCATCATAGTCTCTTCCTACAATCAGCACCTACAGAACTGAACACCACAAATATCAATCAACTGCAGAAATGATAAGAAGCCTAGTAGCGGCAATACAATAAGGTCGGATCAAGCTAAATCCAACATAACACATTTAGTTCGCGTAATACAACAAAAAAGCACAATATTGTTGATCCATACATATTTCACACCATTTCTTGGCGATGATAATAATTAATTTGGCATGATGGACACTATAAATCATCCTGATATTAAGTGCAATTGGCATCTATTAATGATCCCTACAGACAGAGCAAACTACTTAGCAATAATAAAGCCAGATTGCCCAAGCCCTTATAGATGGGTAGGGCGAAGGGTGATGCAAAGGATAGCTATCAGAGTTTGGGCAATACTCACTAACCAAAAAATAAAGGGAAATTATCAATGATACATTCTAGGTTTTGACTTTTATCAATGATACACTTCATCAAACTTTCATTATCAGCGGTACACCTAAACTTTTTCCTAATTAGCTACGGTAACCTAAACGTTAATTGTGATTAGATGACAGAAATTTTGGTCTGACTTGGATTGACTAAAATGCTCCCCCCCCCTCCCACCCACCCACTCATTAACACTCCCTCCAAGCCCAACCAACAACATTAAATACAAAACTTTTGATCGTTCATCTCCCTCCAAGCCATTGATTTTTCACAGAAAAAAAAAAGTAAAAAGAAGAGACTATGAATGGAAAGGGAGCATACAAACAGAAAGGTGTATAAGTAGGGGAAATTTCACAAAAATGGAGGGAAAAATGGTGGGAAAATTTGGAGGGATATTTAATGAGAGGGGCAATTCAGTATCTTTAGCCTCCTAAGAGTCCTAACCTTTAAAACGCTGTCAACTAATCATAATTAACGTTTACTTAACGTTCAGGTTACTGTAGAGGGAAAAGTTTAGGTGTACAGATGATAATGAAAGTTTAATGAGGTGTATCATTGATAAAAGTCGAAACCTGGAGTGTATCATTGATAATTTCCCAAAAATAAACTTCAAGGACATCCTTGTAAGATCATTGGACGGAAATTTCACTGACTGTTAAGCCCATTAGAAAACCCACATGTGAGTGGTGTGTGGTCCCACATTGGTTGAGTTTATAAGTAAGGGTTTGTATTGGGATATGTATCCCACATTTAAGAAATATGAAAGTTGTGCTAAGGGGCTACTCCCTTCATTGCCATATGTTTTTGAGGTGGAACCTCCTTGGTCGTATAAAGTGGACAGTTGTGTCGGGTGTGGCCCAGACCCGTTTATCACTGACAAATAAATCTCCACAAGGAAGAAAAGGATAGGACAAGAGAACAAATAACAATTACTATATAGCCCTGGACAGTTACTTTTTAGTTTTTACTAACCTGAAAGCATAAATTGAATGGTCTAATGTATGTTCTTATAAATGTCATTGGTTAGTTTCTACCTACCTTGGTCCTTGCAAACACCCAGAGCACAATTTGCTTGATGTCCCTTGAAAGAAAGTGTTGAAGCACCACTTAGTGGACCTTGACAAGAACATGTGGTATCCGCAGAATTTGGGCACCAATTTATTTTGAGATATTGCGTAGCTGACTCAATATTTCAGCAAGATCAGCAGGTGGAGGGCATGAAAAATGCATGTATTTGCCAGTACACGGATGCTTAAACCTAAAAAAAGAGTAGTAACAATGTTAGGAACTTGTAACTATTGCTCAGATTTAGAACATAAAGTAACATTAATAGATTTTACTTCTCACCCAAGAACCATAGCATGGAGGCAGGGCCTTTCTATGCTGGAAACCAGATCACTGAGCTGTAAATGACATGTGGATGGGGTTCTTGGTCGAAGCAACGATAAGGCCATATCCTTGGTCCCACCATACAATTCATCTCCCAGTAATGGAATGCCCATGTACTTTGCATGCACCCGAATCTTCATCAAACACAAGGACACATACATGGCAAATATAATGAGCAACAATACAGAAGCAAGTTCAGACCAACATATAAATCCTATATAGAGTAGATCACAAAGAAAGATCTGTGTACATTACAAACTAATGGTAGCACTGAAAAGTAAGTTCACTTGAGGCAAAGTAATATGGCAAGGGAGCCTTCAATATTGTTCCAACAAAAGGGAATTAAATCATCTCCCAAGTCTTATAATAGAACACAACATATTAATTTAGCACACTATACACATAGAATCATTCTACTTAATTCTGGAATTGCAGCATAAGATTTATACACATATGACAAATCCATCTAAGCAAGTAAATGTTGGAATTTAGTGACACTTCTTTTCAGTGATGCTTAGTCTCAGTTGTTTCACCTTAAGTACTAAGTGAGTCGATGAAATTTGAAAGGGCAGAATTTTCTTTCTTTATTTTTTAACTTTTTTTTTGGTGTACAGAGAACCACAAGAGTTTTTAAGTACCACCCTCTAAGACTTCAACTGAATAAGCTAGATGGTATCCTTTGATAGACACTTAGGCAGTCTGTATGGAAATTGGAATAACAAGATTCTTGTAAACCACAAAACTGATAAAAGCTATTGCTCAAATTATAATTATGTGATGATTTCCCTAGAGTGCCATACTAAAAAATGTTAGTAAACTTTAAGACGAGAAACAACACACACCTAGTCACCTATTCTCTATCTTTCAAATCTCAGAAGTCAATACCGGATTTGGAATGCAGAATACATCTAAAATAGTGAGCAGTTGAGCATACATCAACACCTTCAACATCTCTATTTTAATGGGTCAGAGAAATGGGAGATCTGCACTACTTTTTATACCTGATGTGTACGCCCAGTTTCTAATCTCCATTCAACTAATGCTGCGCCTCCGTTAGCTAATACTTCAAGTATTTTGTACCTGCAGACACAAGACAAAGGAAAGAAAAATTTGAAGGTATTACAGGATTACAGGTACATCAATTAATAAAATTGTAAGATAAAAACCAAAGCAGGAGTCATTGACTTATATGATTGATTCAAACACAAAAGTTACTAGAACATTTCTCAATCCAACCTGAAATACATTGACCCTATACCAAAAGTTACACATCTGACCCATTTCATGGTGTTATACACAATGTCTACCAAATTCATCAACCTGTCTTAGATGATGTATCACTATATACTTTTAGGTATTTGTAACCAAATAAATATAGGCAATGGGGTCTGGTCAAGAAAGAAACATAATTACTTTAGGGTGTAAAAGGGAAGTTAAATACACAACCCCCCCCCCCCCCCCTCTTCCGGTCTCCATTTCAAAGGAAACTACCCTATTTCAAAAATCATCCTGCTAATAGAATTGCAACCTTAATTTGTCATAATTATCACATGTCCAATTTCTTGTAATGATCAGCTTTTTCCTACCACTCATTCTCCTTACCCTTTATTTATTTTTATTTTTTTTAATTTCATAAAACTAAACAATAGGAAATACAAAATACAGTAATGACCATGGTGGTGGTTGTTGTACTGCTGAAGTGGAAGCTAGGAGGAGTTACATTATTTTTCAGGGTTGTGGCATAAAATGGCTTAGAAGATTTACTTCACACTTGCAATTTGAGAGGTTTTAACCTTTTTCAAAACATTTTCCAAAAAAAAAAAAAAAAAGAGGTGACCACAGTTTAAGTTCAAATTTTCTTTACACTATAATTATGATTTTTGTATACAAGCTTACAGGAGTACATATAAGCCATAAATACATTTTCTATTTTGGTACTCCCGCCAACCATTGACTTCTACATTATTCACATATCTTCCTATTAACCACACTTTTTTTCTAATATAAAAACACACGTTATCATGTACAATATTATTGGATTTGTCTCAATGTATTTTTTCAAAAAATCAATTGTCTTTAATATTATTTAAACATATTGAGAAATAAACGGTCAACGTATTCATTGAAAACACAAAAGTCATCCAAATTCGATTATTTAGAGATAGTGAAAGGATCTTAAAAACATTATTATGCGGTATTAGAGACATAATTTACCTACTTGCAGCATGTCTCGAAGGTCCAGATTTATGTCCAGTAGCAGCAGTCATCCGAATTCGATTATTTAGATCACGACCAATTGGAACCTCAACGCGGCCAGAAGCAGAGGTAGGCACCCCGGAAGTGACACTTAAATAAACTCTGGTCACTGTATGAGCCTTAAATTGCTCTGCCAAATGAGCATGAGAATGTTCATCCTGTCAACAGCACATAGTTTTTACAAAATTTATAATTACGTGAACCACTTTCATCTCTTCGGTTGCAATAGAAACAAAACATTCTGTAAAATATTATAAATCTTACCTTAGCAACAACCAGCAATCCACTGGTGCCTTTGTCTAGCCTATGCACTATTCCAGGGCGAATTGAACAGGATGCATCTTCACAAGTAGTTTGATTCATAGGATGAACGTCTATATTGAGATCATCCTCAGACACATCATCTGCCTCAGAAAGCCACCCAACATCAGTTAATGCAACATTGGGGAGACTGCAATGGTTCAAAATTGCATTAACAAGAGTGCCCCTTGGATTTCCAGGTGCAGGATGGACAACCTAATCACAGTATAAATATTCAAGGTATTAAACTAGGTAGAAATGCTGATGACATCTGTACCATATACTTATAATTTACAAATTTTGATGAACACATAATCTCTCATCCATGTCAAAAGCAAAGAATCTCACAATTTGCATGATTCTACCCCTTTTTTCTCATCGTTAGATTTATTTTACTTTTTATTAGTTAAAAAAAAGGAAAAAAAAAACCTCACAATTACGCCCTATTTGTTTTTGTTTGTCCTATTTTACTTTTTAAATCATTTCTAATTCACACATTCAAGTAAAAATATCTTCTTCACTATGGAATTATGTATAATACAAAAAAAAAAAAAAAAAAAAAAAAAAAAATAACATAAACTTGATATTATAAAACAACACATTCAGATGACTGTTTATTGAAAGAGTATTAGATACTAACTAGTTTGGGGCCGGGGTGATGCCCCGGGTTATGTTTAAATACAAAATGAAAAATTACCTTGAGTTTAAATAATATTTTGGTTCAAATCTAATCCAAATACTAATGTGTTGTCATGTCATCATCTATGTGGCGCTATGTCATAAATGCTATGATGACAAAATATGACACATGTCATCCACATGTTAATCCCTTGGGTTTTAATAATATTATAAATTGCACTGTAATCTAATATCATTCCAAACAAGACTTAAATAATGAAACGAAAGGAAAAGTATACTGACGTACAGATGTAGACACACAAACAAATGCCCAAATCAGACAGCTATCAACTTTCAAAGCTATAATGGGCATCATCACACTAAATACAAGAGGCATCACAGATCATCTACATATATGATTCTGGAAAATTTTGATGACATTCAGTTACTTTCTAGAAGCCAATTCTCAATAAAATTTCTAGTAGTGCTTCCAACAGGAATATGCTCTCATAATGGAAGGTGCATGACAAACAGAAACATATTTTTATCTGTAACAGAATCAGATTACTACATCTCTTGTATCAAGGACATCATTTCAATATAAACACTTTTGAATAAATTCTAATTATACACATGATAAGTTTGGAAAGATTTATCTATCACATGTCAGCAATTGCAAAAGGCTAATTATAGGATGAGATCAATATTTTTTTTATGAAACAAGGTTGGATTATAGAGGTCATGTGGATATAGTACTCACATAACAGTTCCTTAAATCTTCATACAACAGTAGAAACCTTAGAACGCTTATGTGATAGACAACCTCATTTCAAAACACAATAAGGCCCCGTTCAATTCACCTTATTTTTGCTGAACTGAAATTATTTTTACTGAAACAAAATTATATTTGTTGAACTTAAATTATTTTTATTGAACTTAAATTAATTTTACTGAACTAAAGCTGAACTGAAATTATTTTTACTGAATTGAAATTAATTTTAATGATCTGAAATTATTTTTTACTAAACTGAAATTATTTTTACTAATATTATTTTTTTAAGGTGAAGTGAACAAGGCCTAAGCTCCCAAAGAATAATAAAGAACATAACTTTTAGCTAATAGTCTCATAGATAAATAAAAATACCCGTGCTACACATGTCAAACAGTCATGATACATCAATTGATCAATAGGTAGCACAACTAATTAATGGAGTATGAAAGACCATCAACAAATTGTGACATAAGAATCCTTACCATATGTGGAGGTTTATTCACAACTAAAACATGGTCATCCTCATATGTAATGTCCAAAGGTATATCCTCTGCATCAGCCCTCAATGGTTGCAGTTTTGCTATAGTGCAGTTGATTTCATCCCCTGTTTTAACACCATATGATACCTGTAAAAACAATGACCACCCTAGTGAGAATATCAACAAGCCCAAAATTACTATATTGTAATCTAAACAAAAGGTGATATTTCTATTTTAGACCGTCCCTCAAAATAAATTTAATTACTTTTTTTTTTGTTTGCTTATTATTGACAAATGATGGGGAGATGTCTTTGAATTACAAAACTCTCACAAATGAAGTGGCATATTCGTAATCAAACCAAAAAATATATATTATCGAAATGATTGAATATTCAATGACCATGGTTATATATTTCATCATTCTTGTTGTCACAGTTAATTTTTCGCTAAGTATGATGGTATTAGATTCACTAACCAGCCAAACTTCACCCACTAACTTTATATAAGAATGCACAATATAATAAACACGATAGAACACTAAGGATATACCACAAAGCATACTTTTATTAATATCATTAATCACGTATTTACACAATAGTTTCTGAATGCCTTGGACAGACCCCAAAGTCATCTATTTATAGGCAAAGGAGGACAACCCCCTCCAATGCGAATAGACACTTATCATGCATGTGTGCCAAGTGGCACTCATGCACTCAACTAATCATTAATACAAGTCAGCAACCCAAACCCACATACATAACGGATCACCAACATTATCCTTTGTGTCTCTTCACTTTGCATTTATCCACAAACCGTCACTCTAGTGTGAAGGGCTGCGTCGTTTCATCATAGTGTCAGCTCCATTGGCCATGTAACGGTTCACTAAACGTCGTCTCGCACCAACCGACGCCACTATCCAGCACCAAATGCCACTTCGCACATTCCGCACCAAGCAACACAACGCTTCGCGTTGCATCGCACCAATGTGCTGCTTCGTTGGCACCATGCCAACGACCAAGCAACACGTCACTTCACCGCACCGCATCAAGACCAAGCATCGCGTCGCTTTGGTGTCCCGTGCCATAGCCCATGCGTCGCATCGCTTCGAAGCAGCACCACTTCCCCAGCGTCGCGTCACTCCGATGCTACGCATCGTATCCCAACCGACACGTCGCTTCGCACCCAAGGCTAAGCACGCACCCGCAAAGGCTCGCGGCGAGCCTTTGCTCATAGCCCAACTCATTAAGCCCACTTATGTAATCAAGCCTTGTGCTTAAGGTGTAAGTAGCCCACACCACGCTAGGACCATGCATCATGGCCTTAGCCAATGATGCACCCATGGGCACACCAAGCCATGAGTAGCACTGCTCCCCCTTAAAGAGCTTTATATTGATATAGGCTTGTAATACTAGTGAACACGCCAATGACAATAACATAATAATGGACTATTGGCCCCAACCCTTGGGTCCAACGTTCATCTAATGAACCTTAGCTTACCAAGCTAATATATAGAGGCAACCATATGCCTTTATTTACTTATTAACCACACCATAGAGTCATATAGTAATATGTACAAGGCCTAGCACCTAGCCAAGCCGTAATGTGCCCTTGTCCAGGCACGCCATGCCGCGCATGGCTCAATAGAGTTCTTACAAACCTCCCCGCCTCGAATTGCCACAACGTAGTATCACGTTCCCACGAAGCCTCCACTTTAGGGCAATTCTTCTGCTGCACCAAGTACTTAACTCGGCGGTTTTTCTTACTTTGGCCCAACACCCTTCGATCTAGAATCATTTCCACTTCCTTATTGAATTGTTTCCGGATCGTTGGTGGGTTTCTCTTTGAGGCAGGATGCACACCTTCTGCATCTTCGTAGTAAGGTTTCAAATAGCTTACATGGAAGGTTGGGTGTACCTTTAATTTCTCCGGTAACTACAACCGATATGCAACAGCACCCACTTTCTTCAACACCTCAAATGGACCATCGTACTTTGGGATCAAAGTCCTTTGCGCCGTTTCGGCGCTAATCTTTTTCCAAATCTGAGGGGTAAGTTTCAGCAACACTTTATCCCCAACCTTAAATTCTAACGGACCCCTTCCCTTATCAGTGTACTTCTTCATGCGATGAGAGGCCTTTTCTAGGCTGTCTCTTGCCTCTTCCATCAAGATGATTTATAGCAAAGCGATGCGCTGCGGGCAGCCCACATCTTTACTTTGCTTTATGAACTCAAGCGGCGTAAGTGGCTGCCAACCCATGGCAAGCTCAAAGGTACTCATTCCCGTCGCCGAACTCTTATGGAGGTTATAGCAAAATTGAGTAGGATCTAACTCCAGCCAATTCTTTTGAGAGGCTGTAACATAATGTCTTAGATACTCTTCTAGCAAACCATTGATGCGCTCCGTTTGACCATCCGTTTGCGGATGATTGGCCGTCGAGAATTTTAATTCCGATCCCGACAAATTAAACAAAGCAACCCAAAATTGACCAGTAAACCGTGTATCCCTATCTAGGGGTGAAACAAACTCAGTTTAAAACCGAACCAAACCGAAAACCGAACCGAATAAGAAATTTGGTTCGGTTTTTTTCGGAAGTGGTTCGGTTTCGGTTTTTAAAAAAAAAAAAAATTTCGGTGTGTGGTTCGATTTCGGTTTGCGAAAATGAAAAACCGAACAAAACCGAACCACACCGAAATATAGGCCCAATCCAATTAAACCCTAGCCCAACTCTAAATTACCCTAGGTATTTAATGCAAAAAAAAAAAACCCCTAACACTCTCAGCCCCTCTCTCTCTCCTTTCCTCTTCTCCTCTTGAGGATTCCGTCCATTCTCTCTCCTCTCCTCTTCTCCGTTTCTCGCCTTCACTATCTACGAACACCATCAACCTTTTTCTTGTCTTTCTCCTCGCCACCATTAACGAAAGAATGCTAACTTTATGGGACTAAGATCGAGGGCCAGGACATTGAGGGCCAGGACTTTGTGGGGGTGGAAGCACACTCAACGGGACTGGATTGTAGATATGGTGATGGATTGAGTAACCACAATGGTCAGGGAATAAGTAATCCAAAATAATCCAAACCTTCCTGAACACTATCTCTTATTTGAGAATCAAGTACTGCTCATGGCCACACCAAACCATGAGTAGCACTGCTCCCCCTAAAGAGCTTTATATTGATATAAGCTTGTAATACTAGTGAACACGCCAATGACAGTAACACAATAATGGACTATTAGCCTCCAATGAACCTTAGCTTACCAAGCTAATATATAGAGGCAACCATATGCCTTTATTTACTTATTAACTATACCATAGTGTCATATGGTAATATGTACAAGGCCTAGCACCTAGCCAAGCCGTAGTGTGCCCTTGTCTAGGCACGCCATGCCGCGCATGGCTCAATAGGGGTCTTACACTTATCCTATATGATATAATATCAAAAAATATAACATCATAGTTCTTAAATACTTCGTATCAAGTATACCATAGTATAATCTTGATTTATGTATATACCATCCCCATTATCACTACCATTATAAAGTCTTGATTTGTTTTGCATTATATTATATATCATTTCTAATTTTACCATAATCATTAGCACCAAACGAGCATTTCTCAGTCCCTAATAACTTGAATCATTGATGACTCTAATAACACATGCCAGTATTAAGAATACAAGAGATACAACTATACAAGACACAACACACAAGTAAAGCATTTATGCTTATTGGCATTATTGTAGGAGTATTTTAGTATCATGGTAATAATACTACAATAACACAACAACAAAGCCATAGTCCCGAAATGATTTTGGGCTCGGCTAACATGAATCGTCGTAATACCATCCAAAAACATTAATTACTAAGTTAACAACTGAATTCAACATTAAAATTCAAGTATGCAACAATTAGTACAAAAATGAAAATTCCAGAAAATGAAATAGAGAAATGGGAGTAGTAGTACCTTATCGACAACGCGGCCATTAACGCAGACAAGGCCAGCGCGAATACTGGATTGAACCCTAGCTCTGCTAATTCCATTAATTTTGGAAGAAATCCAAGCGTCAAGCCTAGTTTTAGCGACGCCTTCGACCGTCACTTTCTCCTCCAATTTAACTCCTTCATAGTTGGTTATTACACCTTCAGCGGAAGAAGTGGTGGAGAAGGCTTTGACGAGAGATGAAACCCTAAATCCAATTGTTTGGCGCGGAGGGAATTGGCAGAAGGTAGGAGATGAAGTGAGTGCCATCATTTTTGAGCTTTCACAAATTCTACACAAAATTGTCTGATGACCCGGATTAAGCCGGACGTTTTGGGCTTCTTTCGATGCCTAATAGAGATGGTTGTGGCCTGTGGGGTGTTGGCTTATGGATCGTGTAGAGACCCAAATGCTTTGGGTTAGCCTATCACACGAGCTATGTGTCATGTCGTGCTGTATCAAATTTTTTAAAAGATATGACTATGCATGTCCCAAGGCTTAGTGGCAAGGACCATTCGTGTTGTGCGTGCAACATGCGTGTGGTGTGCCTAAGCCAATTTTTTATGATTTTAGCCTGTTTTGTCATGTAAGGATATATTGGGTCATGCTTTGTTGTGTTTCTCACAGATAAAAGTGGCCCAAGCTCAACCTACAGCCATCACATATGTATCCTGTTGTGACTTGTGTCATGCATACACGGTTGTGCCATGGTTTTTGATGCTTTAGTCGACATGGCCCAATGTGCCATTTGTAGGTTTGATACGTGAATGTTAAACTCTTTGGCTTGAAATTCCAACCCAAATGTAAAATGGACCATTTTAGTGCAAATAAAACCAACTACTCTATCCGTCTCATAAAATGTGTCATTTACTTTATCCAACCCAAATGTAAAATGGAGCAATTGATAGTCTATTCATGTCCTTTTCCATCCAAATGCAAATCAGTTTCTTAATCCAAGAGACTAACCACATACTTGTTGTGGGATTTATAGTTGAAATTTTGCATAAATTTAACTGTAATAAAAAGTAAACATACATGATTGATGAGATTTTGATCAAGTTTTGTAACAAATATGCAGCTTATTAATCTCAGGAAACAACAACGAGATTATAATCAATTAATCAGAACAGTAATATACAAGGCACAAGTAATTAATTTTAACTCTCCTTCACCCTTTTCACTTGTACACAAACAACTCATTTTTCTTTCCATCAGAATCTGGTGTGCCCTTCTTCATCATTGCTACAAACTCCTCATAATTTATGTTTCCATCCTGTGCGCAGCACACCAAACATCATTCATATAACAAGCCTATCGTCGAATCACATCTTAAACATAGAAATCACAAGGGTGCAAACAAAGTTGAGGAAGAAAATTTACTTTGTCAGTGTCAACATCATCAAGAATTTCGTCAATAGTTGCATCATCTCCCATTTTATATTCTGTCATTGCCTGTTTCAGCTCATCTCTTGTTATATACCTACGACGATACATATATTTTGTTGTTAGCCATAAAGAATTCATCTTCAGTTGCCTGCTTTTTGGCTGTAATAAGTTGAGATTAAACATGTCCTAGTATTTTGGAACGGAGGGAGTATAACTTCATCTTCACCTAAGAAAAACAGAACATGAAAAAAAGAATAATGCAATGTATGTTCTAGCATACTAAATTACTAACCCACTGCCATCCTTGTCAAAGAACTGGAAAGCCTTGTACAGATTCTCTTCCTTATCCAATCTATGCCGATGCATAGTAGCCGAAATGAATTCCATGTAATCAATAGTTCCATTCTTATCAACATCAGCCTGACAGAAAACACAGGACTTAACATATGGACTCGCAAAGTATGATTTATAAGTATTGAGAAGAATATTGATCATCAAATTCTGATAGTTGATCGATTTCTTACAGCATCCATTAGCTGCTTTATTTCAGGTTCACTCAGTTTTGAGCCAAGCCTTGCTAGGCCATGTTTAAGTTCATCTATAGTAATTGTACCGCTTCTATCAGTATCAATGTTGTTGAACATTTCCTTTAAACCTTTTATTTCTTCATCTGACAGATTTTCTGCCATAACCTTCATCAATCAAATTCACTTTATCAAGAAACTAGCTTAACAAATTTTGGATTTAACACAAGCAGTTGTCGATCATACAATATATATAGATGTTCTAACAATATATAGGAATTTGGTATGTTACCATGAGAGCAAGCTTCTTGAGTTTGTTCATTGCTCTGAACTGCTTCATCCTAATAAGAACCGCGCTGTCAATAGGTTTCTCAGAAGCATCACTGTCTTCTTTGAGCCATGGATGTTCTGATTCATATAATAGGTAAATTGTGGGCAGTCAAAAGCAGTTTCATGTCAAAATTCTCTATTATCAAACCTTAGTCGAGCTAAAAAATTACATACCAAGTGCCTCTGCAGCACTTATACGCGCCTTAGGATTTCTGTCTAACATTTTAGCAATTAAGTCTTTGGCACCAGCAGAAATTGAAGGCCATGGATGTGTACTCAAGTCAAGCTTCCCGTTCTTGACCTGATAAAAAATCCCAGCTTCAGTCTCTGAAACAGTCGCAAACACTATGAATCAGAACCAAAGAGATGAGATGGGCAGGTTACAGAATACAGATAAATGAAATTAAGCAAGTATCCCCTCATAATGCATATTCATCTAATCTACAACATCTCTATAGGCTGCTATAACAATCTTAAAATTTTCGTTAAGCAGCATGAAACACGTCGAATTCAGTTTCAGGAAGTATATGCTTACCAGCCCAAAATGGAGGAACTCCACTCAGAAGAATGTATAAAATGACCCCAGCACTCCACACATCTACTTCTTTCCCATAGTTGCGTTCCAAAACCTCTGGCGCTAGATAATAAGCACTTCCGACAAGTTCCTTGTATATTTTCCCTGCATTTTTCATTTGACTGATCACTACTGGTGAACCCAAATAGCTCCAACATCATATTAAGTCCGATTATATAGAAAAATCTTAAAAGAAACAGTACACTACTTAAGACTCAAAAGTCCACAGTTAAAAGATATAATTGCATCTTGTGGAATGGGGCATTAACTTGCAGTTAAGTTACAGTACATAAGCTACTCAGCTTGTGACATTTTCAACAACACCTCCTCATGACAGCGCGAAACTAATTACAAAAGTTATCTACATCAGACATAACATCAGTGAGATGTATGTATAGGAAAATAGTTATTTGTCTAAACATGACAACTGAGGGAAATTGTTGTTATTTGCAGAAATGATGGCAGACGAGGACATATATCGTAATAATTGGGTTGAAACAAGCTTAAATGATCCTAGTCAACCATAATGAACATCTCTTTCATAATCCCCATTTAATTAATTAATTTAGTGCTTGTTTTTATTCAATAATTCACTTTTCGTTTTTGAGGAAACATAAGTTGACTTGATTTGGTTGACTGGCCCCTTTTTATGACCCTAAGACACCATTTTGGTGCAGGTTGCTTTCTAGAGTTATACATGAAAAATATCTCCATTACAAATTTTCAATTTCTTCCCTTAATTTTGCTTGGGTTTTTTTCCCTAAATTTTGATTGAGTTGTACTTATATATATATTATCTTACTTCGATCTACCCTTTTATCTAAAGAAATTATAGCAAATGTGTTACATAGTTAAATTATCTGTGTTTGGGTCCAATTTAGTCAAAGTTGGGCCTGAGCACTAAATGATCCAATTAAAAGCCCAAGGTCAAGGTTCAACTCTCCAATTGCTCAAAAGTCAAAAGTCAGCCCACAAAGTAAGCCAATTGGCTAAAGCCCAACCTCTCCAAGTATGATGAGGTATAAAAGCCATCATATTAACACATTCAAAAGGACATCACATACATTATCACATATGATCATTGACATTCCAATTCAATATGCTCATTCTTGCATTCAGAAATATTCCACAAAAGCCTCAAGCTACAACTCTCTTGCATAGTGTCTTCCTTCTACACATTGTACTGACTTTAGCATCGGAGGGGCCTTCCTCGGAAAACACCCCCGAGGCTAGTTTACGTGTGTTCACTGTGCAGGAAACCTTCGGCCCAACACAACTTGGATCGAATCCAGTCTTCTCCATTTCAGTGGACCTTCGGCAAAGGTCCCATTGTTTTCAACCGAAACAATTTGGCGCCGTCTGTGGGGAAGACTTTCAAAAAATCTTTAAGCCAAATTCCTAACCAAGATCATCTTGCAATTATCTTAGCAGCCATGGCTAAGAACCGCAAGAGCAAAAGCCTCCGTCAAGGAGCGGGGCGAAAAGCCTAAAACCCCTACACCATCGCCCTCGCCGGACCGGAACTCTCCCAAGGGTGCCGGCTCGGGGGGAGGATCACACAAGGAGGATTCCCTATCTCTTATAATGCATGACTCTCAATATAGGCCGGACCACTCTCGGTCTAGCAGGGGTCAGTCTGATCATAGGACATATTCAGTGTCCCAAAGCCAACCATCGGCTGCACGGCCTCATTACCACCCTCGGCCGGGGACCCCTTTGACGGGGCCCAGTTCGGAAGAAGGTGGCAAGAGCGCTGGCAGTACTCATGGAGGCAATGAGGGCACAGAATATGCCACCGCCTCGTGATCAAACTCCTCCGCATACCCGGCATCAGCGAGGAAGTTAGACCATGACGGTGGGAAGCTTCCTTCCTTCCGGGAACTGGAAGAGTGGGAGGAGGATTCTTGGAAAAAATGAAAAACAGAGGAAGAAGAACTCTTCAATTATTTAAAGGATCCTCATCCTCAAGACCAGCAGCGCATAAGAGCAGCAGCTCAGCTTCTCGGCCAGAATCTACTCGCCGGGAACCCGAGACTGCTCGCAGAAGCGTCCTTGACCGACTCGGCGGCCAGGAACCGAGCGTGCGTAGTCGCCTCTCGTTCCCTGCAGCCGAGGCCCAGACTTCCCAGCCAGGGACGAAAAACCACTCCTACCTCTCTAAGAGGGCGGAGCGCGGTCCCTTCGGCCAGGAACAAGGGCAAGGCCATTATGCTTCCCGCTAGTTCACCATTCGAGCAATGGATACTGGAAGAGCGCGTACCCACGGTTAAAATACCGTCGCATATCACATATGACGGGACCACGGATCCGAAGGACCACGTGGCCTCGTATGAGACTCATATGCATCTTTGCCCCAGATCCGAGGCGACTTGGTGCAAATATTTCCCAACCACTCTCAAGGGGGTCGCGCAAGCGTGGATCTCCAAGGGAGTAAGGCAAGGCTCCATAACAGGTTGGGATGATCTGTCCTCCAAGTTCAGGAGCAAGTTTTCCACGGCAAACCGCCGAGAAAAGACTACCGCAGAGCTCATGGGTCTGCAACAGGGGGAAACCGAAAGCCTCCGAGACTACCTGACCCGTTTCAGTAACGAGTCATCAAGCGTCTCTCAGCTGGACCAGGGGCTAGCTGTTTTTGCAATGCAGAATGGCCTTCAGCCAGGAAAATTCCTAGACTTCATGGTCATGCATACCCCGCAGACCTTGGAGGAAGCTCTTAGTGCTTCGGATAAGTTCATCCGAGCCGAAGAATGGAATAAAGCAAAAAACCCAACCTCAATCCGGGGGAGGGAAACAGAGGCAAGTACCCTTGTCTGAAGGCCAAGGCCATAAGGCAAAGGGAAAATCAAAGGCCTCGGAGCCATCTTCGCCAGCGACCTAAAGAAGGACAGGTTTGCCTCATACACAGGCAGATACGAGTCCTACACTCCGCTCTCTCTTCCACGCGCCAAAATTTACAGTGTGACGAAGGAGGAGCAGAGTTACCGAAAGCCGAGACCACTCCCAGAGTGGTATCAGCGAAAAAATAAAAATCAGTGGTGTGAGTTCCACGAGTCTTCGGGCCACAACACTGAAGAGTGTATCCAGCTGAAGGACCAGATAGAGGACATGGTCCGGAAGGGATACTTGAAAAAATACATCGCGGATCACCGCGAGAAAAAAGAATCCGAGAGGCTAGCAAAGGACCCTCGGCAGGACCTTGATTTCCCCCGGAAAAACAGTAAAAAAACCGGAGGGGAAATTCCCTCCGATCAATGTTATCTCGGGAGGAATATACTCTCGGAGGGAGCACAAGCGTCACCTTAGAGCTTTGACTCACCAGGTGAACAACGCTGACATTCAATCTCCCCAGTCGCCGGTGCCGAACATGACGTTCACAGCCGCCGACTGCCGGGGGATTACGTTCCCTCACGAGGATCCGTTGGTGATCATCGCCACGGTGGCCAACCACGACGTCAGTAAGGTCCTTGTTGACGGTGGCAGCGGAGCAAACATTCTGTTCCGAAAGGCCTACAACCAAATTAAGCTGAAGCCCAAGCACCTTACGCCGGTACCCCTATCCGGTATCCGGGTTCAATGGGGCTTCAACTTATCCAGATGGGAAGGTGACACTTCCTGTCACCATCGGTTGCGATGAGGCAGCCCGGAACGTCATGATTGAGTTTTTGGTCATCGACGCTCCTTCAGTGTACAACGTGATTTTGGGGAGACCCATAATTCACGAGATCCAAGGGGTCGTCTCAACTTATCATCAGCTGATGATTTATGTCTCAGACGCCGGCTTCCCCGAAAAGGATACAGGGCAACCAAAAGGACGCCCGAAGGTGCAACTACCTCAAGCCATCCAGTAGTCGCCCAGATAACGACAAGGATGAGGAGGAGAAAGAAAAAGAAAGAGAGCCAAGCACAAAAAAGCCGAAAGGCCTAAGTGCTTCGGCCCAAGGATCAGTGCCCAGAGAAAAAGGTCCCGAAAGGGAAAAGGTTGACTCTTCATCTGAGCCGAAAGACTCAGAGAGCCAGCCGAAGAACACAAAGACTGGGACACCTGCTGACATTGGCAGCAGACCAGATTCTGAAGAGTCCAGTCCATCGGCAATGGACATGGACCAACAGACTGAAACAGCAGAGTTGGCCGAAGGAGATGCTGAGAAAATGTGTAACAATCGGGATGGACCTTGATCCTAACACCCGTTGTGAACTTATTCAGCTCCTGCGGGATAACAGAGATGTGTTTGCTTTCTCGGCAGCTGATATGCCCGGGATAAGTTCAGACCTCATCTCCCATAACCGAAGGGTCCATGCAAGGCCTCTCAAAATTGGGGATCTTGTCCTTCGGAATGCTGCTGCAGTTCAGAAAGGCCGAATCCATGGGAAGCTCTCAGCTACATGGGAGGGACCTTATGAAATTTATGATGAGCTTCAGCCAGGGACATACCGACTTCGGCAGTTGGATGGAACTGAGTTGAAGAATCACTGGAATGCTGATGTACTGAAAAAAATACCATGTGTAAACCCTTCGGGGCAGAACAATCTTTGTAAGTACATTTGAACTAATGACAGGCCTTGGAGCCGCCATTTATATAAATATTTACAACTTTTTATCCTTTCAAAATTTTCTTTGTTCTATCTACTCTTTGAGGGTTTTTTATTCAGCCTCGTCTGAAGCCTTCGCCTTCGGGTAACTGGGTTTCAGATTGCTGACAAAACCTGTCTTTTTAAAGAACACCGGTCTTTCAGCTGAAGTCAAACTTCAGTAAGACTTGTTCTCCAAAGACATGAGTCCATGGACAATTCTGGGATATTGCCTTAACTGAGCCTTGTATCCCAGAGAGCCATTATCCGAAACATTGCCTTAAGTTGGCCCTGTGTTTCGGGTATCCATTTTTCAAAGATAGACAGAAAATCAAGGATAACAGCAACAGTTGAAAATTTTTAAATCAGCCTCGTCTGAAACCTTCGCCTTCGGGTAACTGGGTTTCAGATGGCTTACAAAACTCAGTCTTTTTAAAGAACACTGGTCTTTCAGCTGAAGTCAAACTTCAGTAAGACTTGTTCTCCAAAGACATGAGTCCATGGACAATTCTGGGATATTGCCTTAACTGAGCCTT